AGATTTTGGTAGCCCGACTGGAAAAATCGCTAGCCCCAGGACGTCGGGCTAGCAATTTTGCGAGCCCTGCAGTGGTGGGACAGGACCGGTGCCCCTGAGTATCAGTGTTCTTCCCACCAATAAGGAGTTGATGTGGTTCTTTTACTGCGACGTTTGTACAAACGTCTCCTCTGTGGTTTCATAACTGACTGACCGGCTCAAAAGCAGAGTTTGTGTGGTCCTCTGAGGGAGATATTGTAAACAATCTGTTGTGTCCACTTCCTGTTCTGTCTGGATCAGCGCTTCACACTCCAGCTGGATGTTCATGCAGTTCTGCTACAGGAGGACGGCACTAATGAACCAGTTTACTTCCCATAAGCTTAACTGTGATCAACAAGGAAGCCTTGCCTCTCATTCGGGCTCTGCACCCCCCTGAAGCATGTGCTGGTATTAGAGCTGGTTTATGAAGACCATAACCCTGTGACCTCTGAGAACTCAGTGAGGTCATTGTTGCTGCATGTTAATATTTAAATGGTAAAGATAACAATGTGACAGACCAAATGTTTACCAACTTTAGGGGCATGTTCTCATTAATGTCACCCTGATATTGTATATGACTTACTGACTACTGAAGCTACCTGTTTGTGGGAGCAGCTGAGACAACCCCTGACCCGTGCTCTACACCTTTGCTTGGTGGGTGGAGGCTCATCAGCACCAGCAGGAACATCTGGGCCTTGTGTTCCCAGACTATATATTTTGTCTCACCTTTCTTAAATATATTAACAACACAAACACCTCGCCCAGGGACATTCTGCAGCCAGAGATTGAAGCACCAACCTTCTGGTTTGTAGGTGACCTGTTCCACCTCCTGAGCTCCAGCTACTGGTTATTATAGGGTTAGGGTTAGGCCAGATTGGTCACATATAGACTCCTTATTCACCCCTCCTCTGTCTCCTCTGGTTCTGGATTAAACATCTACACACTGACTTGATAAGCAGATTTCTCTCTTTCATCAACCCTCCCTCCCCCTCTCTGTCCCACATGCTGATGGCTCCACTGCCAGCTGGACTGAAACGGACTTTGTATTGCTTGTTAGTGCAGACA